TCTCTCTCTTCTCTCTCTCTCTCTCTCTCTCTCTCGCTGTCTCTCTCTCTCTCTGTTCTCTCTGTTCTCTCTCTGTCTTTTTTTTCTCTCTCTCTCTCTCTCTCGCTGTGTCTTTCTTGTTCTCTCTGTTCTTCTTTTCTCTTCTCTGTTCTTCTCTCTCTCTCTCTCTCTCTCTGTCTCTCTCTCTCTCTCTCTCTCTCTCTCTCTCTGTCTCTCTCTCTCTCTCCCAGCATCCATTGTCTGCGGTCAGCGAGGATCCGAGTATCGATGTGGCTCCATTTTAATGCCTCTATTACAGTTTAACTGCCCCAATAAAGGCTTCAAGGTTAGAGGTGATGACAGGCGGCGAGGAAGAGTCCTTAATGTCCGACTTTTACTGAGTCCTCACTGACTGAGATTTCATGGAGGAAGCAGAGAGATCAGTTCCTCTCAGAGTTCAGCTGACGGCCTTAAATGTTCCTATCGGACTATGGGCTGATAGTTGTGTCAGTAGAAACTGAATCTGAACTGCCCGACTTGAATAATTGCATTAAAACCTGAATCTGAATTTGAGCCTCACTAAAAATTCTACTTTTTATGTTCTTTCAAATTCAGATCTCTAAATTCAGATTCAGATCTCAACTCAATTTCAAACCACTACATTACACTTTTAAGGTCACAGACGGGTCAAGGTGTTCAGGAAGAGCAATCGAGTGCAGATGCACAGAGCTCCTTTTTGGCTAAGCAGCACGTTTGTTTCGACCGTTTCCTGGACCTGTAGACATTGGCTAGAGAACAACATGCTTAAAGGAGACATATTATTCCTCTTTTCAGGTTCATAATTGTATTTTTTGTTATTATTAAAGTAAACACAAAGTGGTTCACACACGAAACCAAAATAAAAAAATAAAATAAATACAATTATGAACCTGAAAAGAGGAATAATATGTCTCCTTTAAGCATGTTGTTCTCTAGCCAATGTCTACAGGTCCAGGAAACGGTCGAAACAAACATGCTATACGCAATACGTTCTGAATTTGAAAGAACATAAAAAGTAGAATTTTTAGTGAGGCTCAAATTCAGTTTCAAACTAATAAATTCAGATTCAGCTTTTAATGCAATAATTCAAGTCGGGCAATTCAGATTCAGTTTCTACTGACACAACTATCAGCCCATATCGGACCTCCAGAGTCCCACAATATGAAGTTTATTGAGATCTTTCAGGATTATAGAGCTCTGTATCAAGCTGTTCTAATGTTAGCTGTGCTAACAGACTGAAACAGCAGTTATTGATCTTGTGTATTGATCGTGTCTTCATGTCTGTTGAGGAACACTTTTATGTAAAAGAGATAACAGCGGGATTCTCTTTGGGAACACGGTGGAACCTTTAGCTGCGTGAAGAGACCAATATCATCAAACTTTTACATTTCAGTGTGTGTATAAATAATAACACACACACACACATGTTCATTAGTAATTCTGAAGGTGTGTTTTTGGCTAACAGTTTCCCCCTGTTTCCAGTCTCTGTGCTAAGCTAAGCTAACCACATCCAGCCAGTGGACAGACGTGACATTAATGTATTTCCTTTAATGAACATTGTTGAAAACGATCCTTTAATTGAAGCGAGAGGACGAGCGGAGAGAGTTCAGAGTAGATTAGTTTGTGAAGCTCGACTGAACCTGAATCCTTCAGTGTAATTAGTTTCACAGCGACGGCAGCAATGGATGCAATTAAAGCCCAGTGATGTACAATATCACAGCCGGAACCAAACTGGAACAAATTTAGAAAGTGGAGGAATGAAAGTGACAAAGGAAAATGAATTTGTCTCTGTGACTGTGTGTTGAGCTGAGTCTGCAGTTTAAAGTGATTTCTAAACGCTGTCAGAGCTTTAACTGATCAGCTCTCTCTCTTATCTCTGCCGCACAGTGCCGGAGCTGCTGCTAGTTAGCTTATCTTAGCATAAACACTGCACTTTTCCCATGTTTTAATTGTTTATGCTAAGCTACGCTAACCATTCCTCCCTGTCTTTATGCTAAGCTAAGCTAGCTGTCTAGCTGCTTTTTAATCTTTAAGAATCAATCTGACTCTCAGAGAATATTCAGATATGAATTAATACACATTATTTTAATAATAATAACTTTAATAATAAGACTTTAATAATAACTTTAATAATAATAACTTTAATACTAATGTAGTTATTATTATTATTATTAATAATAATAATAACTTTAATACTAATGTAGTTATTATTATTATTATTAATAATAATAATAATAATAATAATGACTTTAATAATAATAATAATGTAGTTATTAATAATAATAATAATAATAATAACTTTAATAATAATAACTTTAATAATAAGACTTTAATAATAATGTAGTTAATAATAATGTAATTAATAATAATAATAATAATAATAATAATGTAGTTATTATTAATAATAATAATAATAATAATAATAATAATGTAGTTAATAATAATAATGATAATAATAATAATAATAATAATAATAATAATAATAATAATAATAATAATAATAATTAAAGCTGCAAGCAGCGTTGAGCGGGACCTCGCACCCCACCCAACTCGGGGCGTGCTGCGGCCGCGTCGCGTGCCGTCGTAACACTTGGGGACCACAGCATGAAAATGTCACGTAAATCAGCTCAAAATCGCCACGCAGCGCTTACCACCTGTTGCCGGAAGGTGGCGCTATCACTACGTCTTAATATTGTCATGTAGACAAGTTCAGGGCGGGACTGTCGTAACACACGTGAAGTTTCATTGAGATTGGACGACGTACGCTGAAGTTATGAGGACGTGTTCAGGGCGAGACTGTTACAGAATATATGAAGTTCACTGGAGATTGGACATTGCACACTGAAGTTATGAGTGGCATTTCATGGCGAATCCGCTGAATTTGACAAGTCGTCACTGGCACGGTCATTTCACGTAACGCAGCACAAAATCGCCATGCAGCGCTTACCACCTGTTGCCAGAAGGTGGCGCTATCACTATGTCTTAATATTGTCATGTAGACAAGTTCAGGGCGGGACTGTTGTAACACACCTTAAGTTTCATTACTGTTGGATCATGTACACTGAAGTTGAGTACTATCTGTTTATGGTGAATGGTCGAAATTCAACGCAACGCCACGGGTACGCCGTTTGACGGAATGTCGTAAATAGCACAACTTTTAATCATGAATGTCTTTAGATTGCGCTGATTAAATTTGAAGTTGATCCGATAAATTCCCTAGGAGGAGTTCGTTCAAATACAAGGCGAAAAATTCACCGAAAATGCGCACGGAATTCACTATGGCCAACTTTGAGGGCACGCCACGGACACGCCCTTCAACGTACATGCACAAATAGCACAACTTTTAATCAGGACCATTTTTTGAGTGTACTCACAAATTTTGAAGCATATCCGATAAATTCCCTAGGAGGAGTTCGTTCAAATACAACGCGAAAAGTTCACCGAAAGTGAAACTTTAAATCAAAATGGCCGACTTCCTGTGGGGTTTCGGGTATGGGTCCAAGAGGCTTTTTTGTACGTCCCGAGATTCTAAACGGGCCTACCGAGTTTCGTACATATCGGTGAAACGTGGCGCCGGGGCTGCTGTTTATTTATCCTGTAGGGGGCGCTACACACAGGACAAACACGATTTTTGGTATGTGAGCTTCAGGCACTACTCTACACGTGCCCTGTGAATTTCATATTCATAACTATTACGGTATATGTACAGTGATTTTTCATGCCAAAAGAGCGCCACCTAGTGGCGTATTTTTTTTGTCCTTTTTAGGGGAGCCTCAGGGAGCCATGGGGAAGCATCATACCAAGTTTCATCTTATTCACACATACCGTTGTAGAGATATAAACGTCTTCATTTTAAAGAGCGCCACCTAGTGCTGATGGCCTGAAATTGTGCACGATGCTTAAGGAAGACACCTGTAACTATGCACCCAAGTTTGGTGTCAATCGGACATACCAATGTGGAGAAATGGTCCACTTCCTTTTTTGATGAAAATTTCACAGGGAGTGCTAATTTTATAGCGTGCTTATTGTTTGAAATTTCGAAAATGTTCAAATTGCTTTTTTTGCCAGGGCGGTCCCCAGGTGCTAGGTGGAAAATTTCGTGCGAATCGGACAAAGCGTGTAGGTGGAACACGAAAAAGTAGTTTAACGACATTTCGCACTCTAACGAAAAAAAATTATAGGCGGAAGTGGGCGGGGCCTATATAGGAAGATTCAGCTCCATTCACTGAACGCGTGGATATAAGTTTTTTGAATGTACCATAAACTATGCAAAAGTTATTAGAATAAACGCATTTTTTATGATAGTAGCGCCACCTAGTGGCCAACCCGAAAGCGACACATGTAAACTCCCCATTTTCACCAGACCTGAATACTTTGCCAAATAAAATTGACTTTTCATATATGTTCAGGGGGGTAAAAATGCAGTCAAAGGGTCCTAAAAATAATAATAATAATAAGAAACGAACCAAAAACAAAAGGGACCTCCAGCGGTCGCTTGCGAGGTCCCTAATAATGATAATAATAACAATAACCCAGAGCAGTGCAGTATCTGTATGTGGAACCAGAAGCAGTCAGTGAGCTGTTGCTGTATGTTGATCCTCTCACAGGAATAACTCTTATTTATTTATTTGTTAGCAGACAGTTATTGTTGTTATTGTTGTTGTTGTTTGTCTGGATGACCTTTGTGTCTGTGTGAGCTCACATCAGCTGCTCCGACCTCTGAACCTCTCCTGTAGTTTAAAGCTGCAGCCTGAACCTCCTGCAGGAGGACGAAGACGATAACGTCAGACAGACTAAAGAGACCTGCAGAGTTTCTGTCGTCTTCCTACAGAGACACTAAGCTGTATGCTAAGCTAACGGAGCTGGTTCCAGAAGAGGAGGAGGGGGAGGAAGAGGAGGAGGAGGACGGAGGGGGAGAAGGAGGAGGACAGAGGAAGAGGAGGAGGAAGAGGAGGAGGAGAAGGAGGAAGAGGAGGAGGAGAAGGAGGAGGACAGAGGAAGAGGAAGAGGAGGAGGAGGAGGAGGAGGAGGAGGAGGAGGAGGAAGAGGAGGAGGAGGATTTATGTGAAGTAGCTAGCATTGTGCTAACACTAGCTAATGATGGATGAAGATCAGAACGAATGAAGAGTTGGAACCAGTTCATGTTTGAAGTTGTTGTTGTAAACGATCTGTCGATCAGCTGATTGATGTATTGATGTATTGATGTATTGATGAAGGGCTGCAGCTGACATTGTTTGAGAGGTCAGACAGAATTTATATTTACTGGATATTTATCTTTATCTCCGTTTGAGAGACAGCGGGATCGTCTGTGACCTCCAACGTCAGCCTGACACTCATTCTGTCTGCACTTACACTTCAGCTGAGAGGAGTTAAAGGTCATCGCTCTCCTCTCCATCATCCCCAAACCAACTGCCTCAGTCAGAGAGGAGGAGGAGGAGGAGGAGGAGGAGGAAGAGGAGGAAATAAAGGGAGAGAAACAGGAATCAATACTGTGGCTGCAGGTTTCAATTCATTCCAAAACAACACGCATGAATTCTTCCCCATTTCCAGCTCGGATTGCTTCTCTGCTCCTGCAAATCCCCCGATACCCCCCCACCGAGGAGGAGGAGGAGGAGGAAGAGGGGGGAGGAGGAGGAAGAGGAGGAGGAGGAAGAGGAGGAGGAGGAGGAGGAGGAGGAGGAAGAGAAGGAGGAGGAGGAAGAGGAAAAGGAGGAGGAGGAAGAGGAGGAAGAGGAGGAGGAAGAGGAAAAGGAGGAGGAAGAGGAGGAGGAAGAGGAAAAGGAGGAGGAGGAGGAGGAAGAGGAAGAGGAGGAGGAGGAGGAAAAGGAGGAGGAAGAGGAGGAGGAAGAGGAAAAGGAGGAGGAGGAGGAGGAAGAGGAAGAGGAAGAGGGAGGAGGAGGAGGAAGAGGAGGAGGAGGAGGAGGAGGAGGAGGAGGACGAGGAGGAGGACGAGGAAGAGGAGGAGGTTCTGTTGATGTATTGCAGTTAAAGTATAATCAGGAATATTAATGAACCTTTGAGACGGGTGGAGTGAATCTCTGCTGTCTCAGCCGGGTGGAGATAACACAATACTGCTGGACCTAAACGCTCCTTTCTCCTCACTCAGCAGTTCCTGACCCCGTCCGGGCCACAGGGGAGCGCCGGGACGGAAAACGATGAATTCCTGCGATCAATCCGACATCATCAGAGAGTCTGCGGAGCCGAGGGAGTCGTTTGTTTTCAGTGTTCAGGTTGATCATGTGACTGATTCACTCGCTTCTTCATAACAGCCCATAATTATTATTATTATAATTATTATTATTATTATTATATTATTAATAATAATTATTAATATTATTATTATCATTATTATTAATATAATAAGAATAATACTTGTTATTATTCTTATTTAGCATTTAAATGTTGCAGCATGAGTTCAGTGGTATGTGAGTTTGCAGACAGAGCTGGATGTTGAAGTGTTATATATTTGTTAAAGATATAAATATTCTTTAATATGTTTGTAATGAATATATGAGATAAATACAGATATAAATATAAATATAAATAAAGGAGTTCCAGTGTGTTGGATAAAGAACAAAGATTCTTTATTTTCACTGAGACCACCAGAGTGAGTTTTATTCTTTTATTCTTTTATTCTCTGTCCTCTGTTCACCGAGAGCTTCCTGTCTGTCAGAGAGGGCACGGCATTGTGGGATACCGCCTGAATCCCTCTGAATAGTGTCACAGTTAAAACTCTTCTTTCTCTGAGTTGATCTCTGACGGTGAACGTTCCTCTGTGCTGATTGGACAATCAGTTATATATATATATATATATATATAGATAAATATATCTATATATATATATATAGATAAATATATCTATATATATATATATAGATAAATATATCTATGTATATAGTGACACAATTATTTCAACATTAACTGTTAAAAGCATTAAATTCTGTTGATAATGATCAACTGGGTTTGTTGGTCTTGATTTAGGACTAGATTCTGACTCAGCACTTGATGGTCTTGATGTTTAGATTTGATGGTGTTGACCTGGGACCTGGTGGCAGTAGGACTTTTGGATCTTCATGGTCTGGACCAGGGACTTGACTTGTGTCTTGTTAGTCTTCGTAGACCTGTTAGTTCCGATTTGGGATTTGATGGTTTGGACTTGAGACTTGTTGAATCAAGTCCAGAACTTTAATTTGGACCTCTTGGTTTTTTTAATTGAGACTTGGCCTTGACCTGGTCGGTTGACCTGTGAGTTGTCGATCTGCTGACCTTTGTCCTGTGGGATTATGGGAAATGTAGTTTACCATCAGGAATATTAAAGAGCATCCTGTGATAAACGTGAACCACCTCGAACCTTCGACTCGTCTTCTGTCTGCGGACCAGAAGAGACCTGAACCCCGGAGCCGACTCGTCCCTGTTGGATTATTGATCAGTGGGGACTTCTTACCGACACCAATGAGACTCTCTGTCAGAAAAGACCCGTCGTTAAAGAGACGAACAGGGAGCGGGTTGAGCAGTGAATTCTTCCTCACGGTTCCTGGAAACTAGCTCGTTCACTTTTATCTCCCTGAAGGTTTTATTCCCTCCGACACTGAAACGCTTCCTGTTTTATCTGAACTCTCCACAGTTTATCTTTCAGGCCGAACATCCGGCTCGACTTCACAGAGTTTTTGTTGCTCAGATTTTGATCGTAAAGAGAAAAACGTGAATCTGAGTAAAATCCAAACAGAGCGGATTTCCAATCAGCAGTAAAAGTCCATCGATCAGTGAGGAGCAGTAAACACTCGTCCACCTTCTGGGTCTGCAGCCGTTGTACCGGTCTGGCTGTCAACACTAGCTAATGCTTCTAGAAGTGTGATAGATACCCCCACTGCCCCTCATCAGTCTGCTGTAGATTCACCTGTTCCTGCCAGATCCTCCACAGCGTTCACACCTTCAGTGTAACAGTACGGATGTCCTCACAAAGGTTGAATTCCCCCGATATCAAGTCCCAATACGATGCTGCTATTATCCAACACAACAGCATAAAACAACAGACCTCAAACATTATGCTGAAAACATCTGACTGAATGAGTGAATGAGGTCAGGATAACGCAGGAGAACAGCTCGTCCATCCAAACTCTTCCTTCATTCTTTTATATTTCAAAATAAAGTAGCTGATCTTGTTGCCTGAGCTCACCTGAACCGATCTGTACGTTTACAGTGATCAATGACTCTGATTGGCTTTTTGTTCCTAACATGTGTTTTTGTCTGATTGTATGAATGATGGGAGCTCACTGCAGGTCAGTAGCATTAATACGAGGCACATAAGAGTTAATGATGAGTGAGGCTGTGACAGGTAATTCAAATATTAAACAAATAATAATAATTATTGTGTGTGTGTGTGTGTGTGTGTGTGTGTGTGAGTAGTTTTTTTCTCATTTCAACTGGCAATGATTAAAGCTGCAGTCTCCTTTGAACCTGCGCTGGATAAAGACCATGAAGCTGTGCAGACTTTCACCCGTCAGTGTTGATGTTTTCGAGCTTCATTGAACGACAGCGTTGGTGCTGTGAGGGCGAGCGAGGGAGCGCAGACAGACGGAGAGAGAGAGCTTTATGGGATCTGTTCTGCTTTGTGCTCTTCAGAACAACAGCGCAGCGTGTTTCCCCTCCAGCAGCTCCACGCCGCCACTCCGATGCCGCGTACGAGAGTCCGCAGCATGAATGCGACGCCTGCAGCTCTCCATGCGATGGCTCTATGTATAGAAACATCTTCTGGCCTTCAGGCTGCGTCTTTATGCTCAGATGTAAATAATGAAGCTCTGCGAAGCGTTAATACTCACATTCATCTGAGCAGCAGATCTTTATTCTCTTCCTCAGCACAGACCCTCTAATGTAATCTTTATATAGATTGTTAGAATCTTATGTTTTATTCTAATATACTAATACATTAATATTCTTACTTAATGCAGTTTTTATTAGTAACAGAGTATTTGTACCCTGTGGTTATGTCAGTAAAAGATCCACCACCTCCTTCCAGAGCTTTCGATCGTACATGATCTTCCTCAACTGAATTTTAAAGCACCATGAAATCGCTCATTCATTAAACTGTGTATTGTGGCTCTGGGCTCTATTGGCCGGCTGCCATTGGCTGCTGTGTTCAGCCGTCCACGTACTTTTGTCCATGTGCTCTATCCGGTATAATAGCCGTCTGTGGTTGCTGACTCTGACCTGTCTCTCTCTCTCCTCCTCCTCTGGATGATGATGGACGGTGTTACAGCAGCTCGTCTTCATCCTCTTCTGCCTCAGCAAACAGTCTGATCAGGTATTCTGTCTGACAGCAGAGTTATGTGGGATCAATGGGGGAGTGTTCGGGGGAGATGTGGACGTCCTGCGGCTCCGCCGGTGGCCCCGAACACCAACCGACTCTGTTCTGACAGCAGAGACGACTTCTTTAAAGTTTCTCTCTCAGTCTGAGGTCACGAGTTCCCCGGCAGCAGCTCGCCACCTACACACCAAACTCTGTTCAACTTTCTGAGTATTTAAGGAGAATCTCAAAATGTCTTGTTTCATTTGTTCTGTAGTATTTCCTGTAACTCAGATAACGTTAGCTTGTTTGCTGATCTGGCTTCCTGTCTGTAGGTTACTTTGTCGGTTGGTGGATAACATTTTTTTTAGCATTTAGCATCTTGTTCGCTAACATTATTGCTAGCAAAATGCTATCTGAGTGGATATGTCAGTTGGCTAACATTAGCTTCCCCAGCTAATGTGATACTATGAATGATATTATGAATGTATTTTGTCAAACGGTGTTAATTTCAACCAACAAGAAATGAGGCTAATGGTACAAAGCTAACGATAGCTTTCTACTAGCCAATAGCGAGGCAGGGGGATCCAGCTACTTCCAGCTACAGATACTTTGAGTACTTTGATGGTGAGTATTTCTACATGGTGGTATTAGTACTTTAACTGCAGTGAAGATGCAGCCAGTACTAATGTGTGTGTACTAGTTTATTAAATACAACCGGCTTGATCGTTAGCGATCAACGGGTCAATAATGTGTGCGTCTGATTGGCTGCTGCTCTGCAGGTGTTTGACTGATGTTTGATCTGGTTGGACTGCAGGACGGTGAGAAGCTCTAACAGTCATTTCATGCATCGGCCCCCCGCCACCTCCTCCTCCTCAGTACGAAGGCTGGAGCAGCACCAGAGTCATTTATTACTGCAGGGTTGGCAGGGCAGCGACACCCGCAGAGAAATGGTGATTTTGTGAGTCTGTGGTGAGAAAAATGAATAAATCCTGAGAGCTGAGGAGCTTCCAGCAGAGCCGACAGGAGAGAGAGAGAGAGAGAAAACTCAAACTGCAGCAGATTCATGATCCGACTGAAACAACAGAGTCTGAACCAGACACAGAGAAATACCCGTTTATCTGATTAAAGCTGTTTGTGTCCCACTCGTTAGTCTGAGTTACATATGAAGAATCAGTTCCATCTGATTGTGAATGAGAAAACAGCTTGTTTCTGTTTTTCTGTTTTAAACTAAAAGGGAATAAATCCAGTTATCTATCCTCTCCTCTCCGGGTGTCCCCCGGGTGGCTCGTTCTCTCTGAATTTTTGAGAATGTCGCTCAGGTAAACAAAAGACTGAAAACTTGTCAGCAGGTTGGTTCCACGTCGTCCTGCAGGTTTCAGTCCAGTTTTAGCACAACAGATTGTTCTTTTATTCCAGGAAGTGAGGGAACGTTCAGTGTCAGAGACTCGTCCTCCTACAGAAA